TAACATCACATGGTTTTCTTGTCTGCCAAAACTAATTTTTTAAAAATGGTGACAGCTGGTGTACAAAGTTTTTCAGAGCAAAATGTCAACATTTGATGTATGGTCATATGAAAATTAACTTTTTGTCAATTCAGAGCAAATTTGAGCACAACTGAATATATCTACAATTCAGGCTAAAACAATCAATTCTAATCGTTTTATATAGAATCTTCTAGCAGTATAACACACTTAAAAAGCAGAAAATCATGCATTGAAAATCTTCATTGTGATTTCTATAAAATGGTATGTGATAGGTTAAATTACACATTATTTTCATGATTAGGAGCCCAAAATCTGTAAGGTATACCCAAAAGTGTTCAGGAAGCAAAATCTTTGTTGTCCAGTGAAATCTAGGTTTTAGCCAACCTTCAGCATGGAAGATCACTGGATGATTTTGACCTAACCATACTCATTCAACCCAACAAATTCCAGAGTTGCCCCGGGGGAGAAAAATACGAAAAGAATGTAACACATGCTACTATGGAAGAAAGAATAGATATAAACTGTTAAGTACTTCGTTCGCGTGCGAATGATGAAGACACATGGTGATGTTAAACAGCTCTTTATTCTTCTTCTAACAACACCCCAACAAAAACAAAAGGCACGCAGGCCTTTTTATATGGCCAGAAACCCAGACAACATCAACCAATAGAATAGAGCGTTTTCGCACCTTGCGCATGCGCACAAGGCTGGCGCTGCTCTGTCTGGTCCCGGGCAACTTTTGGAATGCCTGGGACCAATGCAACGTCCTGAGCCTACTTTTGCAGGCTCAGGACACAACACCCTCCTCCCTAGATGGAACATACTTTGCGCACACACATGTGCGCCATGCAATGGGAAGAGTGTCATACAGTTTCAGTAATCAAATGCAAGGAGTGTGGAATACTCGAGTCTGCCCTCAGGCAAACCCCCTTCAATCTTAATAATACAACGAATGTATCCAAAATAAAAAAATACTACAAAATAATCTACCCACGAGTTGCTCCATTATTCAGGGGCCTCATGAACAGGTCCCTCATGATTTGACAACTTCACAAAGTCTCTCAGATGCACACTTGGCCCCCTGCCACCTTCTAATGCCTGGAGAGATTGCCTGGCCCACCTGCCCACCTACCAGACTAGGCAGGCCAGGGTGTTGCCATCCTAAATTCCCAGGTTACCCTAGTGAGGGTGCCTGGCTTACCTGCTCGCCTACCAGGCTAGGCATGCCAGGACTTCGCTGCCCCAGATACCCAGTTGGCCCGCCCAGCTGCTGGCTGGCTGGACCCTCTAAGTCCAAGCCAGCATACCTTGGAGGGGTGGAAGTCCCCAAATCCACAATGGACCCCTCTTGGGAACACTGTCCCTCGAGCCCAAGGCCAGCAGATAAAGAGGGCTGGGTAGCGGAGCTGCCCCAGTACTCTGTGGCCTCCAAGCACGTGCCCCAGGTGGCAGAGACAGGAGTCGCCTCCATGGCAACCCCACTCGCTGGAGACCTCCTTTTGGGAGCAATTGCGGAACTTGGCAAGTGCCCCTGATGGAATTCCTTTTCTCTTGCTGCTTGTGATTTGTGTGGATACCCCCCGTCGGTCTGGAGCACTATCTGACATATGTGAATACTGTGGATACCCCCAGTGTGATTCCCTGTCTGGAATAATTATGGATGTGTGGGATGATCCCCTATCCAGCGAATTCCTGTTAGGAGCACTTGCGGAACCTTGGGAAGAACACCCAACAACCTCAGCAGCAGCTAGTGAAGGCCTGTTAGTCCTGGGAAACTAACATATTATGGTCCTCCTCCCCCGCAGAGCAGAGCCAGGAGTGGAAGGGTGCGAGTCCAGTTTCCAACGCAGTTGGTCTATGTGTCTGCAAAGAATGCGGCCGTCACCCAAGGCAACTTCGTATGATAACGGCCCCGAGACCTTGCAGACCACAGCTGTGACCCAGAGATGTCCAGGCCCATAGTTTCTTGCCCAGACCGGATCGCCCATCTGGAGTCTCCTAGGTGCCCGCGGTTGTGATACCTGTGAAGCCACCCGGTCAGGGTGCAACCTGTCTAGTTTAGCGATGAGGCGGCGACCCCAGCAGAGTTCAGCAGGGCTTTTCCCTGCGGCAATGCATGGTGTGGTGCGGTGTGCAAGAAGGAAATCTGCTAACCTGTGATGCCAGTTACCGTAAGTCAGTTTCTTGAGGGCATCTTTGGTGGTGCGCACCATTCTCTCTGCCAGTCCATTGGAGGATGGGTGGAAGGGAGCCAATGTTACATGCCGGATCAGATTGGCCTGAAGAAAAGCCTGGAACTCAGAAGAGGTAAATTGAGGGCCATTATCTGAAACCAGAAGATCTGGAAGACTGTGTGATGCAAAAATTCCTCTCAACACCTGGATGGTCCTGGTAGTAGTAGTGGAGGAAAGAGGAACAACCTCTAGCCACTTGGAATGGCTATCAACAACAACCAGGAAGAATTGCCCCTGAAACGGCCCAGCATAATCTATATGCACTCTAGACCATGGGGTTTGAGTTTCCTCTCACCTATGCACTGGGGCCTGAGGCATTTCAGGCCAAGACTGTTGGCACACTTGGCACCCTTGCACTTGGGCCTCGATGGCTTTATCAAGCCCAGGCCACTAAAGATGGCTGCGCACAAGCGCTTTCATTCTGACTATGCCAGGATGTCCCTCATGCAGAGAGATCAAAATTCTAGATTTCAATGAGGCTGGGATCACTACCCTGCTACCCCATAACAGACAATGAGTGGAATTGTGTAAATTTTAGTCCTCTGGAAAAAATAGCATACTATACAAACAAAGTGATGATAAATTAAGTACAGGCTAGATTTAATTATACTGTTTTCTTTCCTATTTCACCTTTACCTTTACAGGGACATATTTACATAGATGTCTGCCCTTTTATGTACAATACCTATTGATTAGGGGACTGGAGGCTAAAGCATATAAGGAACAGTTGTTGGAATTGGGTATATCTAGTTTAATGAAGAGAAGGACAAGGGGGGACATGATAGCAGTGCTCCAATATCTCAGGGGCTGCCACAAAGAAGAGGGAATCAAGCTATTCTCCAAAGCACCTGAAGGCAGGACAAGAAGCAATGGATGGAAACTAATCAAGGAGAGAAGCAACTACAACTAAGGAGAAACTTCCTGACAGTTAGAACAATTAACCAGTGGAACAACCTGCCTCCAGAAGCAGTGAATGCTCCAACACTGGAAGTTTTTAAGAAGAAACTGGACAGCCATTTGTCCAAAATGGTATAGGTTTCCTGCCTGAGCAGGCGGTTGGACTAGATGACCTCCAAGGTCCCTTCCAGCTTTATTATTATTATTATTAATTATTATTATTATTATTAGTTAGCACAATGCTTTATGCACATGATAAATTCATCTATAAATTCATGAAAACTTTTGCTATAATAAATTTGTTGGTACTTAAAGTACAATAAAACAGTTTTGTTTTGTTTTTTGGTCTATCTTGAATCTAGCAGCAATTAGTTTAATTGGATGACAGCTTTGGGAAGATGTATCTGCCAGTAGTTATCTGTGTTCTTCTGTGTCCTAGAATTACACTGAGAGTTATTGATTACTTTGCCAACTCTCATCTGACTTCTCTCTCTCTCTCTCTCTCTCTTTTTTTTTTTTGCATATATCTTCTCAGTGTGGTAGACCAGAAGTTGAATAAGGCAAAGGTCTTATAGTGTGTAAGCTCTTTCATTTTATTATTTTAAAATATGTCAGAGTGATAGAAATGTTACACTTATTTTATTACATTAACTGTTAGTCTTATTTTCTACAATATTTTATGTATATTCTTCCTAGTTTGGTAAACCTTTAAACTGGATATTAATGAACTCCCCCAATACTGAAGAACTGCATGACAAAACAGAATGGTGGAATAAGGGCTTCTCAAAATGAGTTTGATACAAGAGCCATCACTGGGACTTGAAAGACACCAACTGGACCATAATAGTAATATTGGAACTAAAAAAATTCTCTCTGGAAGTAGTTTAAGATGCTTAAAACTAAAACGCAACTAGAGATTTGATACAATCTACCAAAGAGTAGATTGAGAAACACCAAGGGGAATGAAGACCCTCCAATAGAATGATAGTCATGGGATATATAATCATGAAGCCCATCAATATCCATGCATGCAGACAGGAAAAGAACTCTTTACGGTGTACTAATTTTGGTTGGTACTAATTTTGGCGGGGTATGGTGAAAGTAGAATTAGTCCCTTCTAATATGCACAAAAATGTATTTAATCTCTCCAGCCTTCCCCACATAAGGAATTCACACACTGTTTTTTAAATCTCATAAAGGTCTGCATATAACACGTTCTTGATCTTCACCCATCTTTTTCTAATGTATAAATGAAACAGAAGCAGGATTACTCAAGCCACAGAGTTCCTGACTGGGTGACATGTCATGTAGAAAAGAAAATCTGACTACTTCTTATCATGCTACCCTTTCCCCAATCATAACAGTATTTTCCTTCTATCTCCATTATAAGCTGCTTGGCGCGCGCCCTTCTCCGGGTCTGCAGCGGCAGCCGACCTGCGTGCGCTTCCTTGCGCGCGCCCTGCAGCGGTTTTTCTGCCTTCCTTAACATTCGTCCCTCCCCTTCCCTTAATTCCAACATCAGTCAGTCCAGCGGCGGAGGACTAAAGTCGAAACCCACAGATTGCAAAGAAAAAAAGTCAATCCCCCCTTCCCCTCTTTCGTCTGCTTTGCGGAGGGATCTCTCCCTCTGTCTCCTTACAGAAGCGAAAGGAAGGGGCGTGCGCGTGTGAGCGATGTGAATGTGTTGAAGATCGGTGGCCGTTACTTCAGGGAGACGGCAGTGGGTGTGCACCCGCAAGCGGAAAATTAGTCCCTAGAAGGGAAGGGTGGTAGGCTGGGGGAGTGGCTGGAAGGACTGCTACTGGAACTGAACTACTACAAGGGGGGAATAAAACGGGGGTGGGGGTAGAGGAGGAGCAAATAATAAGGGCTTAAGGGGGCGAAGAAGTCGGCCGTTGTAGGGTGGGAGTGAATGAGGGGCCGAGGTTGTGGAAAAAGCTGTGGAAGGGAGAGGCTGGAGCTCCCGGTAGCTTGGAACCAAGCGGGAGGGAGCGATCAATTGCGAGCGCTAAGGGACTAGGCAAGGGGGTGGGGGTTCTGCTTCATTTTTGATGGGTGTTGCCCAGTTACCCATAAAGTAAGGAAGGTTATGGGGAAAGGACGAGAAATAGAGGTGGCAAAGAAAGCGGCAGTGTGAGGCTCTTGGGTGGGGTGAGTGCAGGAACCGGCGGTCGCCCTATCTTCCTGGGAAGGGGGGAACGTGGAGGGGGAAATCATTTTGTTTAGGAAAAAGGGCGATTTCTTTTGAGCTTGAATCTAAGACTTCTCAAGTGGTTGGGAAGGAGAATGCGATTTCTGCCTTTCCTGTCATACGTACGTTTTTTTATTAGCTGGGGATTAAAATTAGCTGTCGGGGCGAGTTTCCTTGAAATTTGCTCCCATTCGCATGCCTGCGGCTTGCCTGCTTGTGGTGCAGCCTAGAAGGGGGGGGGGGAGAGTTTGCAGCTGATGTAGGATCGTCGTCGGGTTTCTCCTTTCTCCTTCCCCTTCACCACGGAAAGAGGAGGAAGAAAGAGCCGTAGGCGAAAAAACAACAACCCCGGAACGTCCATGGCCTCACGATCACTCCGTTTTTGGACGAGGTGGATAATGAAATCTTTGTTGCCACAGCTCTAACTACTTTTGAATTTTATTTGGGGACTAGCCAGGGTATATTCTTCCTGAAGACGTTGGGCATTTAACGGAATTACCGTAAAGAAGAGACTTTTCTCATTTAACCTTTTATAATTCAGATATTTTATTAAAACATGGAAAATGAAATATTCACACCTCTTTTGGAAGTCTTCATATCCAGCCCACTTGTTACCTGGGTAAGCATTTGTTGATCAGTAATGGAATTTATATAAATGATTCTTGCCAAGCACAGACAGAATTCATGTCATAGTGTTGATAATTATGCTTTGTGTTCTAGGTTAAGACATTTGGATCCTTAGCTGGACAAAATGCAACCAACTTGGAAGAATACGTTGCACTTCTAGATGGAGTTTTCTTAAATGAAGTTATGCTGCAAATGTAAGTTGTTCTGTGTTTTCGTTGTTTTTTAATGTTTTGATTTAAGAATTCCTCCAAGAATGTAGCTTACTCTGTGACCTTATTTTCTTTCAGGTTATGTAGGAACAGAGAACAGTGTCTTACCATATTCCCATTTTATACCTTGTTAATTGATTTTATAACATAGAAGTATGCTGCTTTTCTCTGTCATTATATTTTTGATGTCTTACAAATCTGTGTATGATTTCAGTGAAAAAAAGCGGGAGGGGGAGGCGAGAAGAGCTAATCAGGCAGAAATAATAAAGGGTTAACCACTGCACCTTGCCTATGCATAATAATAACCTGCCTGTTATTGGTGGCTCATCCCTGCATCTGCAGAGAACATATGGAATAGCAAATGCCTGATTTTAATCAGTTGTTTATTAAAATATAGCATGATTTATCTATATCCTGATTCTAGAAATATTTGTTTGGAACTAAATGTCATTGATTAGGCTAACTACAGCTTTAATATAGTTATTCTGTAATATATATTGAAAGACAGAACAAAAGTATGGAGGATTTAACATTTTCCAGTTAAGGACTATACATTTTCATTTACATGCATGGATTTTGCAATAATCATTATGAAGTCTAATTAGTTCTCCAGTTGATTCACTTAGTAAAGCAATTATGTTAGACTTTATAGGTGAGTGATTTTTTTATTTTTTAAATTATATTCACTGATAAAGAAAAGTTTATTAGTAGTGAGCAAAACATGCTTTATGAAATAAATGGAAGAGAATGATTACACGGGATTGCATTTTATTCAGTAATACAGTTAAAATACATATTTGGTGGGATGAATATGACCCATCTATAATAAGAGGATCTACTATTCAAAGGGCGTAGATTTGTAACTAAGACCCAACCTTTCATAGAAGCTTTACATTTAGATTGAGATTTCTCCAACTTGGCTATACTAGTTAGACTAATGAATGTTGATAAATCAATACTTCCTCAGAATATTAGGTTGAAGAAGGCTGATTTAGATATACTAGCTCCTTGTACTGTACATTTGCCCAAGAGCATCACTCAGAGACTAGTGACCCAATATGTGGGAATCATCATACATGAATCATTATTCTGGATATATATGACACAAGAATTTACTAAATCTTTTTGAGCTAAATGTACTCAAAGTCTTCACAAGTAAGCACAATTGCAGTTAGTAATGTAAAAGTGACACATTTGTCAGGTTTTACTGATTCAGTAAATTCAGTGTTGCAAACCAGATTGAGGAAGCTATTAATAGGCATTTTAAAAAATTGTTCATAAAACTGTGCTACTGTAATGTTTCTGACAATATTTTTAAGTTGGGGTCAGCAACTTTTTTTGCCCCCTGGACATTTTGTGAATTTGTACATGATGATAAGGGGCACAGAAAAAGATACGATAGAATGTGAGAACTTGGACAACTTTAAAATGGTTTCTAATAATATATTATTTTGGAGACCAAGGAGCATAACCTGGGAGTCTGATTTGAATCCAGAAGCATTTCACTGCCAATACTTATAAATTTTCTTGGGCTCCTGATAGAAAGGCAGGCTATTACTCTAACAGATAATAATTACATATAATTATCAGTCTGCTTTTAAATATGAATTATTATAATAAATTGACATAGTGGTACAGTGGTTAGAATGCAGTATTGGAGGCTAACTGCTCACTGCCAGGAGTTTGGTCCTGACCGGCTCAAGGTTGAGTCAGCCTTCCATCCTTCCAAAGTCAGTAAAATGAGGACCCATATTGTTGTGGGCAATATGATGATTCTATAAACACCTTAGAGAGTGCTTTAAAGCACTATGAAGTAGTATATGTCTAAGTTGTTGCTAAATTGTTATTTTTTCTTGTTAATGTTGAGTTATATATCTCTAAGGCAGCGGTTCTCAACCTGTGGGTCGCGACCCCATTTGGGGTCGAACGACCATTTTACGGGGGTCGCCAAACAACGCGATCTGCCATTTTTTTCAGCTGGCGCCGCCGCACATGCACAGCGCATGCGCACTGCGCATGGGGGCGCTGCCGCACATGCGCACCACACATGCATGCCGTGCATGCGCGCCGTGCATGGGGGCGCGTCCTTATGACCGGGGTCGCCGGTATAAAAAGGTTAAGAACCATTGCTCTAAGGAGAGAGGGGGAAATCTGAATCTTATGAAAAATAAACCTCCTTAGAAATATCTACAATGCAAGACATATTTCAACTGTTTTGATATCAAATCATGACCACTATCAATATTTAATGTACCCTTGAACATGAGATTGGAAGGATGGCAGACATTACATTCATACTTGACATTTTTTAACCCCATTAGCCTTAAAGTTGGTTAGTTATGGTAATGGAAAGAGAAGAAAGCTTATGCTTAATTTTGGTATCAATTGACTGATGCATTGATCTGTGATTACCTGGCACTTACAAGGGAATTTAGTGGCTTTGGCTTCCAATAAAGAAAATCAATGTCAAGTCTGGTTGGGCATCTTCTGAGGGGTTGGGAACAAAACTAAACTTCCCAGTTTTCTGGAGAACCTTCAGGTACCATCCACTGACACAGTGACATCAACAGAAAGGACCTGGCTGACATTTGGAGAGGTTGCGAGGTTAATAGTAGGCACGTGAATGGGAGATCTCTTGTACGATAACCAGTATCAATTTAATTCTTAACTCCCCTTGTCCAGACTCAAGACATGACATAAGCTTTTGTTGATAAAATTCATTTGGGAGCTACATGCAAGATAATTTTGTAAATAATAATTGGAGTGATAATAGAAGCTGGTGCTTCACAGTATTTAAAAAAATATATTAAGGGATATAAAGAAAAAAATGTTTTGAGAAACAGAAACCCTTGCATACTGGATCCTATGAATATCAGATTGTCTGCCTTCTCTAAAGCCAACTAAAACATATGCAGAATTTGTAGTTTGGACACCTCCACCATGTCAGTAGTGTTGTCTGCACATTTGATTTGCAGCGTCAGGCTTCTGGAAGCCGAGGGTGGAGGGGAATAGAGCTTATGTGGAGGCCATGGCCATTTCTTATGACACTTCCCCCAGTGAAGTGGGATTCAACTGCTGTTTTTTGGACTGCCATGTATCATGAAAGTAAGAGGTTTATCAAGAGGTTGGCAGGGGCTATTTACTCTATCAAATCCAATCTAAACTCTGCTGGATTCTCGATTGAAGTGTTCCTGGCAGAAATACTCCTTCATTTGCTTAAACATATCCAATGAAGGAGAGCTATATTCATTGCTTCCTTGGTAATTTGAACAAAAGGAGCATGTTGCTTTTAATGTTAAAGATGAAATGAAAGTTAATCAGCTTGTTCAAATAGAATAATGACTAGAAAACATTTCTCTTTGTTTACTCTCTGGTTATAAATGAGGTGTAAATGTTGAACAGCAAAGGGAGGTATAAAAATAATTCTGTATATGGCTATCTATTTGGAAACTTGCACTATGGAAATATACTAACAAATATTCTACTACATGTTGTGTCTGGATAAAGAAAAATTGGGCAATAATCAATTTGCTGAGTATTTTTAAATAAATATTTTAATATCTTGATTTATATTCACAATAATAATAGAGATATATAAAATGTTCATTGACATCTTTTTCAAAATGGTTTGCTTATACAACTATAAAATGCTCAATATGTAATTTCTGTGTTCCTATTTGTTGTTCTACAATTTTTTTAATATCCCAATTATTTAATGTTTACTAATCAAGACAAAACTAATTACAGTAATTGATAAATGTGATATGGCTGAGAAGAAGTCTGAACCAGAAAAGTCAGAGAAGTCCATTCAGAGAAGCCCAAAATCTTTTAAAGAGGGAATTGATTTGTGCCATCAAATTGTGTCAACTCTTAGTGAAGTCATGGATTTTCTCCATGACTACCTATCATGGAAGCTTTATAGGTAATTGCAAGACCCTTAGAAGTCTACCAGCAGCCCATGCTGCTCATAAAATAGTGGCACTAAATGGACATGTTGTGCTGTGTGCATAACTATCTGGGTGTTTTAAAGGGAGAGTTCCAAATAGAAGGTATTGCCAGAATCCAGACAGGAAGTGACCAAAGCATGACTAACTTTGAGTAGAAATTTATATAATCGGTATACAAGATGGATCTGTGCAAATATCCTCCCAGACTTGGCTGCCACCTGCTGTTTGAGTAAAAGCCAATAATCTAGAAAGATTATGAGGATGATGATGATGATGATGGCGATTTTATCCTATTTTTTAAATATATACATCAAGGTAGCAAATATGTAGAACTCCCACCTCTTATCCACAAAAACTGTGAGGTGGGTTGGACTAAGAGCGACTGTCTGAAAATCTCCCTATTGACTTTCATCCCTAGGGCAGGGCTAAAGCTCACAGTCTCCTGGTTTCCAGAGGCAGCACCTTAACTGCTATACCAAACTGACTTTTGCTCAATAAATTAATGAACAAGTATGTTTTTGATTCATTTGTTTAATTGGATCTCTTAATCTAGTTTTAGGATTTGTATGCAGAACCGATCATGATTTTGGTCATGTTTGTTTCTTTATATTCTGCCTTCATTATTTTTACAAATAACTCAAGGCAGAGAACATATCTAACACACCTCCCTCCTCCTATTTTCCCCACAACAACAACCCTGTGAGGAGGGGGGAATGGGTGGGTTATGTAGAAATATTGACAATTTAAAATGATTCACAATGTTCTAAGCACTACTGTAAGTTTATCTATATCCTCTTTTGAATATACTTTCAAGCAAGTGGCCTTATGCTTTTATCAATTAACAAAATGTACAACGTAGTCATTTTTGCTCAGCGCAGAATCTTAATAAATAAACTGGATAAATGTTTCATTTTTAATCGGATTTTAACATCCAGAGAAGTCACATGAGAACTAAGTATAACTACACTGGCACAAACTGCCTTGCTGCTGAAAATTGTTCATGCACTTGGAGTCTAGAACATAAATCAAACCACAGTA